AACCCACTTGTTCGTCTCTTGGTCTACTTGTCTAACGCACCACCCCCCCACCCTTCTCCACCCCTCTGTTTCGCCTCAACAATGGCATGGGCTGTGACGCTGGAATGTATGCGCCATCCTGTGCAGTGTGAGCGAGCTTATCGCAATCGCCACATCCTCGTCAGTGCCAATTCACTCTCTCTCTCTCTTTGAGTGAGATGCTGAAATTGGTGCCTCCCTTCCTCCTCCTCCTCCTCTCCCTCTGTGGCGAGTGTTTCTGATATGCATCGCTCCAATTCCATTGCATCTTTACTACTAACCCTGTTTAAGTAGGTGGTGGTGCTTTGCACACACTACCCCGCATATGACGTGCTGATTTACTTTAACTGAATCACGAAGGTATAGACACAAGTAATCGCTTCACTCACCCCCTCGCTCCTCTCCACCCTAACCCCCATCCCTAGACGTAGGATGCATTGTCTTTGGGTATTGTCAAATGAGTTCTCCACGGCCTGCAGCTGAGATCACGCTGGACGGTGGGGTGGGCGGCTGAGTGCCGCCGGAGATGACTGCCCCCAGGTTTAGGCCACAGTGTTATTAGGTCCCCTTCCCCCCTCCCCCCTTAATTAACCAATTCGCGTTAGGTAGCATTTTGTGAGGACCATCCCTACTATGGCCTTAATTGACAAGCCTCCCAATGATGGACAAAGTCCCAGGGCGGCCCCCTCCCCTCCCGCCTTCTCTCGCCCTCCTACCCTCTCTTCAGTCGTAGCGCGCGGCTTTGCCTCCACCGTGGGTGCTGTTATTTGATTGGTGGACGCTCCGGCGTGGGGTGCTCACTCCCATTCACATCACAAGATGATTATCGTGGGCTTTGTGTCCTTTTTTTGCGCTGTGATCCTAATTCTTGAGACAGGTCCTGGCCTGCTTTTTAAGAACCAATATGCAGTGGTAAGATTTGAATGCATACATTCCTCCACCTTGTTACGATTAATTAACACATTTCTTGTCGTCGTCGCCGTTGTTGATGTCCAACACTCCATCCCTTTTATTGCCGTGTGTATCTTTGTCTTGCTCCAGTGGTCGCGTGAGGCCTTGACTAAAACCAGGAAGAGCGTGGAGCGACTCTCGTGCTTCCACTGCTCAGCCAA